CGAGTGTTGGCAAAATTTGTAGCTCCTTGTTGCCAATATGACGTTACATGAATGGCATGCTTATAACCTGGCACTAATTTACTTCATGGCTTGCAAGCGATCGATAAAATAGATCTAGGCTTGCGGGTGGCGGCGTGCTCTTGTAAAACGTAAATATCGAAATGGCTTTAAAAAAGCAAATAAATTCACTTTTTCGCTTAGATTTACAGGTAATTCGAAATCATGAGTAAGATGAGAGGAAATGGAGAATTAGAAAAGTGAGAAAAGTCAAACAAAGACCGATGTCCGAAATATGTCATGAGTGTGCTAGATCTAGATCGCGCATCCTTTAACACTGAGACATTAAGCTGCTGTCCTGGGTAACAAACTCAGCTGAAAATCTGTGCTGACAGTTGAAACGTATACCCCGTGGCAACGAAAGCATTAAGGGTATGGAAATAAAATGATGCAAAATGGTCCACAAACCTGAAGATTCCGTTTCGGAAAGCATTCCTCACTCATTGTAGATATTCATTGATGTGTCAGAGGCAAAAGAACTGATGTAACAAAACGAATAACCCTGTTCAAATTACTGATATATCGGAGATGCATCCAAATGTGTTCCCTGGAGGTTACTGAATATATCTGCGATATTGGTGAACCATGATGTGACGTCGGTATCTAGTGCATAGACTCTCGGACTTGTAACCATAAGGTTGTTGGTTCAAATCCTGTTTAACACTGTTAGGGACCCGATGTTGTGTACTTGGGAAAGGCACTTTACACAAATTTTCCTCTCTTCACCCAGGTGTGAATGGGTACCCAGCTATAGACTAGGAAAAATCTTATCAGTTTGTTAGTGTTTTAGTATATGCAATATGCAGCTTGCGCTGTATGCTTCCTGAGAAGTCACTAATGTTTCTGAGTGTTCTAGAATCTTCTGGGGTTATAATGGTTGTAAAGTGCAAAAAACATAATAGAAGGTGAATATGCGCTCTGTTAATGCAACTATTATTATTATTATTATTATTATTATTATTATTATTATGATGATGATGATCTCTGACTCAAGATGAGGGTTGGTGAATAAGGCTTCTTGTAACCTTCAGAATAACCAAAAAACACTGGTTCAGCAGTGTGTGAAATGTATTATTATTATTATTGTTATTACTAGTAATAAAAGTACCCGTTCTACGAACGGAATAATAATGAAGGATTATTAGGAAAGTTAAGAAGAGGATATTTTACCTTGAATTTATCCATGTAGTACCCCCTCTTGACTACCTCTAGGCGTTAGACTTCTTTTCCCTCTTCGAAGGCTTGGCATTTTCTCCTAAAGTTCAAGCTCAATCTTTTTTTCAAAAAAAGAATTAGGCCTACTTGCCAATTGTTGCTTCCTAGAAGAACCTAATCTAGATTCTAGATCTAGCCTAGATCTCGAAGGATTATAAAGACGTAAGCCAATTATTGAAAGAAGGAGCCTTGGCCCATAGATCTAAGTTTAGAAATTCACATTTTTAATAACCGACAGGCGTCTCAGATGGCCTATGTTTCTAGATCTATTCACAGTAGGAAAACTCCACTTTCAAGAATACTTTCATATTGATCTCGATCTAGATTCACCTACAGCCTAGTTCTAGACTCTAGATCTATTCACAGCAGGAAAAAATCCACGTTCAATACTTTCATCATTCTTGATCTCGATCTAAGATTCACATAGATCTAGCTTAGGTCTCGATCTTAGATTCTATAATGCTCAGCAAGAAAAATCCACTTTCAATATTCAATAGGTTATCGAAATATCACAGATCTAGATTCTACTTTCAATTCATGGTTCTTCTTGATCTCGATTTATCTCGATACATTAAGTAGGCCTACGGTAGGCTAGACTACTCTTTGCGCTTTCGAAGACACCCTCCATGTCACTCTCACCACCCTCCCTCTGTTAGTGCTTTCTGGCCTCCTCTCTCTCTCTCTCTCTCTCTCTCTCTCTCTCTCTCTCTCTCTCTCTCTATCTCTCCCCCCCCTCTCTCTCTCCCAAAGTAGGGTAACTAACGAAAAAGTTTTTCTTCTTGTTCTCCCCCTCCTCCTCCTCTAATTCCTCCTGCTCCTCTTCCTGCTCCTCCTCATTCTTCTTCTTCTTCTTCTTCTTCTTCTTCTTCTTCTTCTTCTTCTTCTTCTTCTTCTTCTTCTTCTTCTTCTTCTTCTTCTTCTTCTTCTTCTTCTTCTCTTCTTCTTCTTTTTCTTCTTCTTCTTCTTCTTCTTCTTCTTCTTCTTCTTCTTCTTCTTCTTCTTCATCTTCTTCTTCTTCATCTTCTTCTTCATTTGTCCTCCTCCTCCATCTACACCTACACCTCCTCCTCCTCCTCTTCCTCCTCCTCCTAAAGGGTGAGACCGAAATCGAGAATTCCCGCAAACCTACTTTATGTACAACTGAACACAAAATACCCTTTGGTGCAGTCGGCACCCCGCAGTGAATATACAATGTCGAAGCAAATGATGGCGATTGCTACAAAAGGACTGAATTTAACTTAAACTGGGGCTTTCTTCTTACACATTTGATCTTAATGAAAATACAATAGTGCAACACTACGTTTCAAGTTATGGGTACTGGCAAAGTTTCATATTTTTTCATTCGGTAGTTTTTGAGAATATACTGTTCGCAAAATTTGGCCTTAGCTCCATTAGTAGTAAGATTATTATTATTATTAATATTTTTTGTAACCTTCCAAGTAAAAAAAACCCACTGGTTCCTCTGCATGTGAAATATTTTTCTGTTTATAACTTTCACCACCACCTTGGGTTCTGTTGTCACAGGAGCTGCCCTGGGCCCAATGTTGACCGGTGTCATCTCCAATAGTGGCTGGCAGAACGTTTTCTACATGCTCATCGCAGCCGATTTTGTCGCAGCTCTGGTCAGTGGCATGAAATTTTAATTATTTTTATTGTTGCATAAACACACACACACATACACATGCATGCACAAATGCTTACAATACTCTCTCTCTCTCTCTCTTTCTCTCTCTCTCTCTCTCTCTCTCTCTCTCTCTCTCTCTCCCTTTCTCTCTCTCTCACACACGCACACACACATACTTGCCCATATATTTACATATGCACACATACACTCGACACATGTACATACTTACGTGCACACACACTCACACACACACACACACACACACACACACACACACACACACACACACGCAGTTTATATGACCTAATTGTGTTGCAAGTGCCGTAAATTTCTTTGTAGAAAAAACAACCCTTTAGTCACACTTCTAATCTTCCGAATTTATTTGACCTTTTTGTGTTGCAAGTGCCATATAACTCTTATTTTTTTTAAAAACACAACAAAAAAAAACCTTGTAAAACATCTAGTCTTTGGCACTTATGTGACCTAATTGTGTTGCAAGTGCAGTAAAATTCTAGAAAAATAACACTCTTGTAACACCTCTAATTTTCATCCCTTATAATATGACGTATTTGTGTTGCGAGGACCTATTTGTGTTGCAAGTGGTGTAAAACCCTTACCAAAACTTAAACTAAACTTTTGGTACTGATCTCCACAGCTGCTGAGTCGCGTAGTGGTCAAGGAGATCCGTCAGAAGATCTACGGCTACGAGGATGACGTGACGATCATTGTGCCAAAGAACACCGTGCAGGGAGATGTGGAGTCACCCAAGCCGTCTATATCCCAGTCGCAGCAGAAGTAGTGGCTTCAGAAACATGCATAGACACTCACTCTTACACACAGACACTCACTCACTCACTCAGGCACACATGCGTGCGAACACTTACACACACATGCACACACACTCTCACCTGTGCACATATGCGTGCGCACTCACCCTTAATGCACAGACACTCACTCACTTAGGCGTACATGTATGTGCACACTCACACTCGTGCGCGCTCTAACTTATGCACATTCCGTCCCGATATAGTATGCAATGTGTCTGTCCCCATGCCATCTATACCTCGGTTTCAGCAGTAATTGTAGTCACACACCACACACACACCACACACAAACACACACACACACACACAGACACACACAGACACACCTCATCCTGATTTAAAACATTGTATAAAACTTTGTTTTAGCGTGGGTTTACTACTGTGGTATTAAAGCCTTTATTCTTGTTTTATAGAGGGTTTTGAAAATTGTTTTTTGGGAAGATTTCCTTTAGTTTTACCAAAGGCTCCCTATATTTCTACCTGAAGTATCCCTTTATTTCTACTTGAGGTTTCCATATACTTTTACCAAAGGTTCTCCTATAGCTTCTCCAAAAATTCTACTATCCCAGCTACTGTTGTTTCCACAAAGACTATAGCAAGTCGCACAGAAATAGAAAAAACACACGTTGAAACTGCAAGTGAAAAAATTTCCTTTGTAGCTGCCAGCAAGACTCAATCTGATTCAACTGTCCATGAAGAATCGTGTGAATTTTCTAGGTAATGATGTATAACTGTTTTTTTAAATTGACCTGGTGGGCTTGCAGAAGCATTTCTTGGTCACAGTAATTATTATGTGTGGGTGATTCTTTCCAGTGCTACAGTGTTCCACAATTTTAATAATTTGCTAGCAGCAAATTTATTTTTGTCGCTGTAATGATTATGATCTACGTGTGATTCTTTTCAGTACTATTGTGGTCTTCAATTTCTCTAACAGAATATAGACCTGCATGTTTGCCGACAATCGTCTGAAATCTGACGATCACGACACGACTCGCGAGCCGGCCGATGCTATCGCTAGGCCCACCTGTATTAGTATTAGTCAATGTGCAAAATGCGAGGCCTGGCCAACTGCCAGCGCCCCTTTTTCTCCCATCGGCTTTGTCGGCACTCCCGTTTTCGTGACGACTGCCGATGTCGCCGTTTCCAACATAATTGTTGGAACCCTAGTAGAAATACGAATGCGAAAAAAGGACGACGATCTAAATTATCTACTTTCAGTTTCGTGCTTGAGTGACCGTTTTTAATTTCGTTTCTTGACTGATTGTTCAGATCATGTGGGTTCATTCAAGTCCAACTCACTTCTACTAGATCTAAATCTAGATTTATAGATCATTATTTTCAGACAATCTGGTTGAGGCTCACATGCAGGTCAAAGAATGATCCTTTTACCCTGACCAACCTTTGTCTAAGATGCCCCCACCCCTTCCCCTTGCCGATGAGAAATGTGGTTATCTTAGAGAGGTGCTCCTCTTAGAGAGTGTCATTATAATATGTGTCACTGTGCAGTGGAATCTGGCGCTCGTCTATTTTTGGGCACATGGAGATATCGATATAGTCTTAAAGCCTGTTGGTTTGCCTTGCTTATGATGGAAAAAGTTACCCATCTATCTTGAATAGAAGTTTTGAGGTTGAAGGAGATGGGGATCACCTGGTGTTGAAGGAAAAATTATCAAGAAAATGCTCGTCAAAGGTTTGTGACTTACAAAGCTTGAGTGTCGTTTGGAACAGAAAATATACCTATTTTTTTGGTGCCTTTCAGGAAGATCCAAACCGAAATTGTTCTTAAATAGGCATAAAAGGTGTTGAGCCGCTAGAAAAAAAAATCACTAAAAGTTGCCAAATGGGTGGGAAAGTGCTGGTTTAATTTATTTCATTATTTCGATGAGCATCTGATTTCTCCAAGATGCGACTCATTTAGAAAAAAATGCATGGGAGAAGGTAGGAAGTGGTCATTTGTACGTACAAGTGGTTTTCTTGGACAGGTGGTTGTCAGATCAGGTTCAACTTTATTCTTGAGGAGGAGCCTAACTATCTTGAGGTCAGGGCGATGATTTTTCAGTTTGATCCATAGACACTAAATATGCCAGCTATATTTCCGACCGACTGTGCTATATTTCCATCTATCAACGATTTCACCCCTAATTTTTTACCAGTGGTAAAATAACCTTCAGGTAGTTTGAACCTCTGAAGTCCTCAAGTTAAAATGTATTATTGCTGAAGAAATTTGTACAAGTTTGCTTTTCGTATAAAAGGTTGTGATGATGGCTTTGGTAAAGTTTTAAATTTTGATAATTGGTTATGGCTTAAAGTTGAAGAGGGTCTCATTAACCCTTTCGACACGACCCGTTTTGCATTCTGTGTACATGAAGTTCATATGGAAAATTGTACAAGTCCGTGAGGTACATGCGGCGTCAATGGGGTAATGATGGGTGAGACTTTTTTTGTTCTTGTCCCTTGTTTTTGACCTGGTGTCAGATATTTGCAAGTTACAAATTAGAAAATGTGTTAGCGTGGTAGCAATTGCAGTGCTTCAAGAAAAACGACACAAAACAAGATAGAGGAAAATTGTTTTGAAAAAGATGAAGATGATGATGATTATGATGATGACAACGATTACATGTAAGTCTTGTTGTCATCAAACTTCCACAGTCTTCCTATAAGACTGCTTTCTTATACTCGGCATATGATATATATATATATATTCTTGAGATTTTATTTTATTCCTGGGCATTTTACAATCATTTGTACACTGTTCCCTTGAGTCAACATATTGATATTTTCTTGTGCAAAGAGAGCGGTAGTTGGTGGGCGCTAGTAGTTGTTGACGCTATATTTCTGGTCATTTCTTTGGCAGAGAAAGAACTTGTCCGTTTGTTCATGTTACTGCACCTGTAAATGGCGTCTTGCACAATGTGTGCTTTCCAGAAAGTTGAGATTGTTTCAGAATGCTTCCAGGTTTGCTGGGGTTGAATATATATTTATATATATTAAATTGTAACGGGCATAGAGCTTGCTGTTGAGTGGGAATTTATGCTACGCAAATGCTACTTATTATATCGTTATTTGCCATAAACATGAGTTTAATTTGGTATGGATGAAATGAATGTTTTTTTTCTTCAAGCGTCCCTTTGAGTCTGTTAGGATGACGCTGGCCACTTTGCTCGGGTTGTCTTTGACTTTGACAGAGGGGGGGAGGTGGCCCAGTGAAGACAGAGAGTGGAGGTGGCCCAGTGAAGACAGAGAGTGGGGGTGGCCCAGTGAAGACAGAGAGTGGGGGTGGCCCAGTGAAGACAGAGAGTGGGGGTGGCCCAGTGAAGACAGAGAGTGGGGGTGGCCCAGTGAATAGGAAATATTGACATGGGGAACTTGAGAGAGACGTCTTGCGGGTGCCCCACCTTTTTGTTTTTCTTATTTTTGCTTAATGTTTGTTTTGTGTACTCCCGTTCATGTCTCTTTTCATCCCATATAAAGATGGTTCTATTTTTATGTTATGATTTTGGTACGGAACTTTTTCTCATTGAAAGCGATTTTTAAAAAAGTGTTTTGCCAGAGTTTGCAGTGTGCGAACGTTAAGGTCTTTGCATGGAATGTGAAAGGTATGAACTCAATTCTGATGTATGATTTTATTATCTTTGTCTTTGTGCTTTGAAGTGGTGTTCCCCTTTGATGGTGTAGACTGTATTGTGGGGATGTAACACAAGCCCAACCCCCCCCCCAAAAAAAACCCCCCCCAAAAAAAACAACCTAATGCATTTCTGTTTTCTGGCAGCTCTAATGCAGTTGGTTACAAATTTGCCAAGAATTAGAAAGTGTTAGAGGTGATGCTTAATTTGATCACTACTCCTTTGATGAGTGTGCTCATTTGATCACTGTACTCCTTTGATGAGTGTGCTTGTGTGATCACTGTACTCCTTTGATGAGTGTGCTTATTTGATCACTGTTCTCCTGTACTGTCTGCTCATTTGGTCGCCTGTAATCTCCCACCCCCCCCCCTCCGTACAATGTTTATATATATATATATTGATGTCCAAGTCCTCACTGTGTCTGACCCCAAATGTTGTATTATTTTTTTCCGCTGATTCAGCTCACAGTATATTTCAGCCATCTACAAGATTTTGTGTCTGATTTTTGCCAAAGAGCTCAAGAGTTCCGACTTATTTTTTCATTGTCAAATATTTATGAATGGTCTCCCCTTTTCCCCCAGTGTCTGTTGTGTTAGCTTTTGGAATGCTTACAGAAGACATGAGTTCAAATCCCCAGTGGGGGAAGTTTATTTATCTATTGTCTGTGTCTGTCTGCTGGGATGCTGTATCGAAGCAAGCATGGTTGAGGAGAGGACCTACTCCTAAATGATCCCAAATTGTGTTGATAGGGGATGTAAAGCTTTAACTGCTGCCAATCCTCACAAAATGCTGCCCTTTTTTAGCTAATTCAACTGACAGTGGTTTCAAGTTGTCTGTCCATTCTACATTTTGTGCTTCATTTTGCCAAAGTGTTGCTACTCACATGTTTAGTTTTTGTCACTGCACTCTAACTGTACTTCTTTTATCAGTGTACTTGTTTTTTCTGTGTACTCACTTTACTCATTTTATCACTGTACGTATTTGATCACTGTACTCATTTGATCACTGTACTTTTTTGTCACTGTACTCATTTTTTCTCTGTACTCACGTTATCGCTGTGCTCACTGTACTCACCGGTGTCTGCGGTGTAGGGACAGGCACTTCCCCATCACTCACAGAAGTCCTGAGTTCAATACCGGTGTGGAGAGAATTTGAACTCCTGGATCTTTCTGCTGGGACATTGTATTTCTCTCAGCCTGGGCTGAATCCTGACATGTAGGGTCAAAGTCTGTCTCCTCAATGATCTAAATTGTGCCAATGGGGACATAAAAAATTATAAAAATACCTACTTTAAAAACCCCCTATGAAATTCACTGTTCGCATTTTATCAGCATACTCATTTTTTCCTCTTTTATAAACTTTTGTATTTGCTCAACTTTTGTGAGGGACTTAAGGGCAGCCACGCTTGTTGTGGGCCCTCCCTGAGTGCTCCTTAGACTGCTCAAGTCAAACCTTTTTTAAAAAAAAGTTTTTTGAGTAAAGAGAAGCATGTTAGAAAGCCTTGTCATTGTTAGACTTGAAGTATACTGTTGAAATTGTCGTGGGTGACCATCCATTGTCGAGGTGAAAAGTGGTCTTCTTAGACAGGTACACATCTTGGATAGTGTCATTACGATATTAGAAAAAAAATGCAAGAGGTTCAGTGGGAGGGGCTGTTTGCATTGGTGATTGTCTTGGACAAGTGGTTGTTACTGCAGGTTTGACTCTATTTGACCAGTGGCAACTGACAACAGAACCATTTCCTGTGATAACATAATTAAATTAGACTAAGGTAGATATTTTGATATGGGATGTTCAGTTGTGAATCCCACAAGCTTCAAATTTGTGATGGAATTTAAGATTAATGCATTTGACTTCCGAAATAATATAAATTGTGTCAGTCTTGGCATTAAATATTTACCTCAAATTATGATGATTTGGTTAGAAAAGATGTTCGAAATTTTACCGTAAACGCTCACTAGGGTGCAATTTTTAGCATATATAATAGATACTAGAACTTGTAATTTGTATTTTTGTTATTTCCCATTTTTCCGTTATTTCAATTTGTAAAAAATTTTTATTTTTTACTAGACTAGAAGATCAGTATTAGTCTAAGCATTTGTTTACTCATTAACCCCATATTAGTTCTATCTACTGTCTTTCTGTCAGCAAACTCTGCTTCGTAAAATTTCAGGTATTTTCACAAAATCCTACTAGCATCCCTGAAGTAGATTTTGTTTATACCTTTGTCTTTCTGCTGGAATTTCCTGTCCCTCTCAGCTTGACTTGGCCCTGATGGGCAGAGTTAGAGCAGCCAGCCTCTTAAATGATGTACATTGTGTAGATAGGGACATAGCGCATTAACAATCACAGCTTTTGCGCCTTACAAGGGGGTGTTCCAAGTTGGAGTTGAGCTTTAAGGTTTTTAATGGAGAACTGTATAAAAAAAAAAGAATGAGAAATGCTATTTATGTTTTGTGAACTGCTCCGAGAAAACTTTTTTTGGGTTGCTACTTAAGCAAGCTGTGAATGTATTTACATTTATTGTAATTACCTTGTCACTGTCCCTGTCCTTCCTTTTGGTGTTGATGGGGGCGGAGAACATTGATATTTTGCTCCCTCAGAATTACAAAGTTCTCTCTGCTCAATACATAGTTTTGACAAATTTGACGTAAAAAGTGTTGAGTTTCTGTGAAGTTTTCTGATGCATTTCTTTGAATATCTTGATGACAATAGAAAATTTGGTTTCTGACCTCATGGTTTTAGTAACTCAAAACAGTCTAAAATGTCAGACAGACCTTTGTAATTCTGAGGTAGCGATTTGTGCAATCTGTCAGATGAGCGCCTGGCAACCTGTTAGCTCAAGGCGTGGTCAGAAACAGAGACCTGGCAATGACGTACAGGCTTCATACGCTTAATATGTAAGAGAGTTCCTTATTGTAGTGTGTGATGTTGGTTTGCACGCATGTTGTCTTTTATTTCTACTTATGCAATCAGTGAATGCCTCAACTGTGTAACTCTGATATTGGAGGAAATGCTCCTAGCAGGAGACAGGAACCTAATGGCTATGACATGTAGCCCCTCAACGTTGATTGACAGTGTACAGTCGGGCACATAGAACTCAAAACGCATAAGGGACTGACAATATAAATTTGTACTTTTTTGGGTTGGAAAAATACATTTAGTAAGGGTTCTATGGCACTTGCAACACAATATGGACATATAAGTGCCGAAGATAGGAGGTGTTACAAATACAAGAAAGTAAAAAAAAACACAAAAAAGAAGGAGGGGAGATAAGGACCGTAGATGTTTAGTTTTATTAATTAGTAAGAGTTTTACGGTGCTTACAACTGCTTGAGGTCATATGAACGTGTGATAGATGCTTGATAGGAAAAAAGGAGCAAACCATACCAGAGCATCCGCCAGCGACCCTTGACAATATGTTTGACACATCTGTAATTCGGGTCAACCGAATAAAGAAAAATTATAGAGATATCAGTCCAGGAACGGCAAATTGTACGAACTATCCGCGATTTCAAGTTTTCCGTGTTCATGTAATCTGTGCCCGGCTGTCATTTTGTCGATTGACAAATTAAGACATACTGACAATACTCTTATAGTGACTGAAAAAATAGACGGAATACCAGTATTATGACTGACAATTTAGTCATGTTGATATTATTTCATTATAGTGACTGATAAAGTAGACTGACAAATAGAGAATCTACTGATAATATGATTATATTTATATTATCATGACTGATAAGTGTGGCTCAGTCCTGCGTTATGTACCTAATGGTATGGGTAGAGAGTAAGTAAGTAAGTAAGTAAGATAAGGTAGACCGAATGCCACCAGTATGTCAATTGACTGACAATTATTACAGACAAACGGACAATGTTGACTGTCATGTAGTTTCATCTGCACAAGGGGTTCACAGTGATTGGTAACTGATCACTGCCCTGGTGGGAGGTACAAATAGGTGCCCTATTTTTTGTTTTAATTCTTTCCTCACATTCTGTCTAAGTGTGGACTCTGCAATATTTTTGAAAAAGGTGTAAGTTCATTTCTTGTGTGGAGAAGGTGTGACATGTAATGTTTATAAAGTACTCTGTAATTTTTCCTGAGCTTACTCAAAGAAACCCTCTACTGTTGGGCAATGGGGGAAGTGGCATTGTATTCAGATATTTACAGCAATATACACATATATGTATATGCTTAGGTTTATGAAAAAGTTGTAGATTAACTCTTTCTACATTGTATACAGAAGGCTATTTCACGTGTACATGCTGACAAATATGGAATCCAATTTTCATCCAACCTGGCCATCACAAATTCCTTTCTAATTCTGCTTCATTGAATCTATTTAAATACGAGTAAAATAAATACATACCAAACCGAGTAAATTAATGTTCCTTTCAATAAACGTAAAGTTTAATTACAGGATAGCATGGATTGGTTGGGCTTTTGTAACGTTTTCTTATCTGTTAGGTCGGGATGAAGCCCGCCTTCTAAATCATCGAAATTGTATCGATGGAGACGTAAAAAATCCTACTTTTTAAAACAATTTTTTAAAAGTTAAAATTAATGGTCTGATTCGACCTTGCTATGCTCTTCCTTCCATTCTTATGATTATAATAGTTAATCTCCTATAGCCATGTTGTCTTTCGTCGGTGCAAAATGAAGCATTCATCAAGCCAGGTTCTGCCTTCTAACTTTACAATGCCTAAGACGTGGATAGTCAAGTGTTTTCACTTAATATCAACTCACTTACAGGCACAATAACAACATAATGTTTTCTACCGACATGATGATATTCCATTCCTGTGTGTTTGTATTGTGCTCAATGTCGTGTGTGAAATGAAACGATTTATGGCTGAGGTGCATGATGCAATACAAATAAAACAGAAATGATTCAAGATTTAATGAAGTTGCTTGATTGTGTAAGTGGTTAAGGTTTGAACCCCAGTTTCTACACCTTTTACAGACTTTAAAAGTTATTTTTTCTCCTCCCTGGACTATTGACTGTTGGGAAAACATGTACTCTACCTTGTAGATGACATCTAGTGTGTGTAGTGGTCAGGCTGGCGGACTTTCTACCGTAAGGTTGTGGGTTCGAATTCCGTCAGGGGCCCGACGTTGTGTCCTTGGGAAAGGCACTTTACACACATTTTCCTCACCTCATCCAAGTGATAATGGCTATAGACAGTGACGGTTCGTGTCCATATTGTCAGTTTGCTAGTGTTTGAGTGCGTGAAATCAGCAGCTTGCACTGTATGCTTCCCGGGAAGCAGATCACGTTTCTGAGTGTTCCCAGAGGGTGTGCTGGGGTAATAAAAGCTGCAAAGCGCATAGAGCACGCTGTAGAGCATGGATATGCGCTACATGAATGCAATTTTTATCATATGCAATTATTATGGGTAAAAAAAAACAACAACCTTTCATTCAAGGCTGGTTAGGTTATTTAAGATGTGAGATATCTGAAGGTAACGTCTATTTCCGAAATGACCGAGCCAAACGAGTCTTGGCTTCGGAAACTTCACAAGAAGAGTTCAAAAATGCCAAGTCAAGGATTCAAACCAGTGCTGTTTTTCCCGTAGTCCAGTCGGATGATACCAAATGTTGAAATTATGAGCCAAATGAGCACCCATCAAGTATTTCCGAAAGGCGTTGACCCAAAGAATATTATTACGGTGTTCTGCATGTGTCTCTCTCTCTCTCTCTCTCTCTCTCTCTCTCTCTCTCTCTCTCTCTCTCTCCCCCCCTCTCTCTCTCTCTCTCGTGTGTGTGTGTGTGTGTGTGTGTGTGTGTGTGTGTGTGTGTATGAGTGTGAAAGTGTGCTCAATGACAGTGGAAATAAATGCAGGCTCTGGGACGTTTGAATCAACATATATAAAGACTTTGCACTTTGAACTGGAACGTCTTGCCCTCACTGAGAAAAAATGGAAGGGAAACGAGGCAGGGGAAGACCCCGAGCAACTTACTTGGAAAATCTGAACAGATGTGTGACATGAGAAGACCAGGATGATTAATATTTTGAAGTGCTTATCTGGTTTACATTCAAGAGCCACGCTTCTATCATCATCATCATCATCATCATCATCATCATCATCATCATCATCATCATCATCATCATCATCATCATCATCATCAACCGTCTTGCTGATGCAGATACTGCATACCAAAAAATAAATGGAAATGAGAAATACAATTCGAACTCTTCTAAGGTTTGATTGACCCTTGGATTTAAGTTTTAGTTATACAGCACTTGCAACACTTTAGAGGTGTTACCACAGAGTAACAAACACAATACAGTAGAACTCGGCTCGGATTCAACAAGCTCGGATTCAACGAGATGAGATTGATTCCCCGTTTCTTTTTGTTTTCTTCTTTAAAATAAAAAAACCCGAATTCAACGAGCACTTAAATCAGCGAGCTCGGATTCAACGAGGTCGCTTCCAGGGCGAACAGCCCACGCAGACGTGGCTTCGCTAATTTTTTTCCCTGAACGAACTTTGTCTATTCCTGGAAACCACCCATTGCACCTGCATCGTGAACCATTATTCACTTAGCTGATTGCATGCGACCAATCAGCGGCTTTTTCCCATACCAACACAGGTGTTGTTGGCTCGTGCACGTGTCTACTCTGGCGTGTGTCGGGGTCGGATGGGCGGCCTGCACACGTGTGACTGTGTGAGCGTGTCGGGGAGGGGGGGGGGGGGGAGTAGTGGTCCGGGAGCTGAACGTCGCAGATACGAACGCGTCACAGCCTTTTTTTCCCCTCTCGGTAACTGATCATTATTACAATGATAAGCTGTTTTTGACGTAGGTCTACGTAATGAATTGTGCGCTGGTCTATGGAATCAAAAGTTGCCGCATGCTCGGCTCTACACAGCAGCACAACTTTTTGGTAAACAATCAAGATGACACAGCCGTGTGCATTTGAACGAATCGGTCTTTTTTTTACACAGCTCATAATATATATATGCAGGCATTTCAGGCACTACTTGTGACTTCTCTTTATACGTTACTGCTCAGTACCTGTAATTATCTACACAAAACCTCGTGTTCGCTATAACGAACACTCGGATTCAACGAGATTTTAGGCCAGGCCAGGCGACCTCGTTGGATCCGAGTTCCACTGTAAAAGGAGGAAGAGGGATTTATATAAGTATAAGGATGAGATAGATGTTCAATAGGGAAGAAGGAGTAAGCCCACACAAAAGCAATCGCCAATCACCCAGACCCATGGATTTGGGTGACTTTCCCTATACTGTGTTGATCAAGTGCCAGACCCCGTTGCGCTGAAACTCGCACACAACTCGCATACCAACTCACACGCGCCCACACCCACACGCACAATCACAAAAAAGAAAGAAAAAATCCCAAACAAAGCTAAACAAAACCCTCACACGTGGAATAACCGCCCACCTCACTCCCACTCACCATTATCTTCAATAACAAACCCCGAACCCCCACTACTTTAACCTGTGCCCTTATATCCCCCCTCTCTCTCTCTGAGGCCCCCCCCCCCCCCCCTCCTCTAATACCCCCACCTTTCCCTTGCTACGGCTCCATCCACCTCCTCAGACCTCCTCCCTTTTCGCCCCCTCCCCTTTTTTCGACTCAACCCCCTCCCCCAAGGGAAAAAAATTACCTTCCTCTTTCCTACCTCCTCCC